AGAAGAACTAGATGGTGTCCGGCTACCCATGCCAACCACTCAGGAAAGGATCAAATCTGGAAATCCTGGATAGAATGGGAAGGAAAATGTGGAACATAATCCAACAACTCATTGATGACCAGAATTACTGGTCAGATGAAATCTGGTGAGACTCCCAATACTATGACCCTGGAATACATTCTGCACCTGGAATAAAACTCACCCTCAGGGGCTGGCTCTCAGCCCAATAGTTAACAAGATGTACATGCAGACCACTCAACCCAGGATGATGTACCCCCATACTCTATGGTAATACATCCCTTAGAGCAATAGACCATGAGGCACCAGAGGACCAACATTCAAATTGAGGAAATGTAGGACAAACAGGAGTGCATAAATATGAGGGGCACAGGAGGATGGTTACTGGGTAGGTAGGGGAGGAGACTGGGTTAGGGTTGGGCATGGTAAATGTAAAGTGAAACTAAATGTACACATTACATCGAATGTAAAGCAAGCTCTTAAAATGAAGAAAAATTATCACTGAAACTGGAATAACAATGAACAATAGACTGGAAACAACAGACTGGAAGTTGATATTAAGATGAAATGGAAATGCCATGGGCATATACCAGACCAGATACTTGAAATTTGATTTATTCAGAGCAGAGTCCAAAAACTCACAATAGAAGAGTCAGGCAGATAAATCTGGGGGAAATCACCAGGTTTTTACATTTTCATTCACCTTTTTGAAAGCATGCTGTAAACCATGCAAAATAATGTTAGCAGGCCACCAGATTGTGACCTCTGCCCTCTCCTGGGTTTCCTTTTGTTTTTTCTTTTACCCAGTGTATTTTGTTGTTACTGTTGTTGCCTGTAAGATTTTTTCATTTGGTGATACTAATATTCTTTAGACACAAGGTATGAGAAACCTTTACAACTGCTTTATTTCAGGGAGAATAGCTGATACAGTTTAATTTTAGAAATGGGAATGGCTCTCATGCTGGTTAGAGATTCTCTTCACTAGGAAGTTTGATTTGTTACATTGTTTATGTATCTACATTATTCATCAGTCAGATAATTTGTTTCATTGATCAAATTAAGCACTCATTAAGTTAGTCTTTGTCATTGTTCTTATTACAGATAAACTTAACAATGTTCAGAGAAGTTTAGAGTTTTTTTCATCGTCAACTATAATAATGATTTCTTAAAATATTACACTTGGAGAACAAAACTATAATATATATCTGTATCTTAAAGCTATAAATTTAGTGCCTTTTATATGACCTAAATTTTGTCTTGTAGAAGAAATAATTAATTTTAGTGCATCCTTTTACCCAAAGAGAATAATGATTTCATTATTTTGTGTGGAAACACATGGCTTATATTCAGACTTTCTAAACTTTTTTTTGTCACCATTCCTGGTCCAAACGACTACCACTGTCCAAGAAAACTGAAGGAGAGAAAATGCATTAAAGTTTGAATAGCACATGCTGTTTTCATAAAAAGAAAAATAAGGTTAATATTTGCTTTAGTATATGAGCACAGTACTTTGGTGTTTTGTTAACAATGAATTGCTATTTAAATAGGAATTGTCTCATTACATGTACAGTTTTAGAAATTATCATCTGTGATTCTAACCCATTAGTTTTCTTACTTTTCTCTTCTAGGTAGAAGGTAATAGGAATTTTAAAATGCTAGTGATTATAAAAATCATTGAATTAACTTTTGATTAGTGGTTCAGATAACTTTATTCCTCTGTCAGTTACTAACTTCATTTTATGAAACTTTTGAGTTTGCCTTCATGGACTGAATATAGTGTAGAAATACTCTTTTTTTCAGTGTTTTCTTTGCTAGTTGGATCAGGAATGCAGAGAGAAATTTTCAGTATTTTTGGTTTGCTTAGATTCTGGCTTTTCTTAAAAGATGAATGGAAAGTATTCTAGGAAAAACAATTGCTTGAACTTTTCCTAACCTTGAAGGCTTGCTTTGGGTTTGGGTGCAGTGTAACAACCTCTCCCATCCTTATCAAATTCAAATAATTCTGCTATTTTTCATCTGAAAGAAAGATTCTGACTCTGAGCATAAAGCTAGTTCAATTTTTAGCTTCATTTTTGAAGAACTCTTGTCATTGTGCATGTCAAGTGAGTATTTTACAATGAGGTATGTGTTAATCTGGGCATTTTTCTTAATTGCTGGGCAGTTTCCGCCAAAAGCAACATCAAAATATTATATTCCCCTCCAAGTCACTGCTGGCTAGGATTCTACTCCATCTGGAAAAATATAACATGTTTTAAAATGTAGTGTAGTCTAGTGAACAGACTTAATCGAAATAATTACAGGAAAATGAAGATGGGTTTATCTTGTGACATAATTCAGACAGATTTCACAACCTGTTTCTTCAACTGGCAACCCATAAAATTCTTCCATGATTGCTAGAAGAGTGGAAATGAACAGGAGTTTATAATATATACTAAAATGTACTTTGGGTCCATTAGATGTGAAATACTGAAGGGAAGTGACTAAACTTCTCCATTTGTTTGCCTTTTTCCAGTGCAAAAACACATGGAAATACATGGTGATTAATTTTTTTTGAATCATGGTTTTAATATTGTGCAGAACTCTACAGAACTCATTTATGACTATAAACAATGATAATAAGCATGATGTTGCTCGGGGAGTTGCTATACCATATAGAATCTATTTATTATTAAAATGGATTTTATAAAGATTAGAGATTATTTGGTTGCTGGTCTGTGGTACCTTCATAATTCTTTTCTTTTTCCCTGAACTTTCTTCTGACAAGGTTGGTGGAATGTACAAAGCAGTGCCTCAGACCGACCCACTGGAGTGCATTAACTGTCGAAATTGTCGGAACAACAATAGGTATGTTAATATAAATTTGCATAAGTGAATAAAGTATGTGAATCCCTTTTTGTTCCCTCTTCAGCAAAAGGAGTTCTTGATATTTTGACCTAAGATATAACCAAAACAAAAACAAAAACAAGAAAAGGAGTTCTGGTGGTATAGTGCCTAAGGCACTTGACTGCTAACCAGAAGGCTGGTGGCTCAAACCTACCAGCCACTCCGATTGGGCAATCTACTTCCTTAGTGATACTGCCTTGAAAACCCAAGGAGGGGTCGCCGTGAGTCGGATCCAACTCCACGGCAGTGGTTGTGTTTCCGTTGTTACAGAATATTAGGAGAACAAATAAGAGCATGTTTGAATGTTCAGAAGGAAAAAACTCATGTATATAGTAATGTTTTATTGTTGTAACATTGTTGAACTTTTCTAACCAAATGATTCAGTATTTTTTAAAAACTTAAACTTTAAGATAATGAAGTTGCAAAATCTGGCTTTATTTTCGTTTTCTGGTTTTTGTTTAATTTTAAAAGTAATATGTATTTAATATTTCAAGCAAGCTAGAAATATATGGAGTGACATATGCATATTCATTTTAACAATATTCAGAAAGCTTTTATGCGGCCTCTGTATATTGTTAATTCCAAAGGATAAGATTTTTTTGTTGTATCTGCTAGAAATCCTGGTTCTCCTTTGATATAATGATGATATTGGATTAGATAGTCTCTAAAAGTCTCTCCAAGCTCAAAAACTCTACAATTAGGAAATTGTATTATAGCTAATACCTGAAATAAGTGAGCTCCAAATATGGATTGGAGTCTTGATATTTCTTTACTGAAAAGGGATTTGACCTCTTTTTAAATGAAGTAAAAGATTAAGAGTTGTCTCTGAGGGTTACAGAAACCAGAACTTGAAAAAAGATCTAGTAAAACAGAGAATTGAAAGTACATTACTTCTGCATGAGTTCTGAGAGCTGCAGAACTAAAAGCAGTAAAGCCTCTTGGGGATTTTTTGTTATCATTTGCTTAACCCATTTTAGGGTTTTTATGTTGGCAAGATCATCTGCCTGTTTTATGTACTAAGGCTTGCTTGTTGCATATTTAAATTCTAGATGTCCCTGGTTTTTAACTTTTTTCATAACATTGAAGCCACATTTTTGTTCTGAGCCTGTCTAAGCCTTTACAACAATTTGTAGGAACATGCTAAAAAATTGGAAAAGGTGCTTCAATACACCTGGTAACTAATGAGGTGGTTTTAATTAAAACAAATGGTTTTGCCTAAATACATGATGTGTTTTCCTTTATGGTTCTTGTGGCCATCAGCTGATCTTGACTCTACCCAGACATTAGATTGGTGTCACGAGAAAGAGTCTTTGGTAAAGAATAAGGACAGCGAGGCTAAGCTTCACCAAGGAGCTCTGGTGGCATAGTGCCTAAGGCATTTGACTGCTAACCAGAAGGCTGGAGGTTAACCACTAGCCACTCCTTGGAAGGAGGATCGGACAATCTACTTCTGTAGTGATACCACCTTGGAAACCCAAAGAGGGCGCTGTGAGTCGGATCCAACACAATGGCAGTGAGTTTGGGTTTTCTTTTTTTTTTTTTTTTTGGTAGGCTTCACCACTGCTTAAACCTGTGATCTTGGAAAAGCTATGTACTCTCTTTGAGATTAAAAAAAAAAGAGAGAGAGAGAGAATGTTTTCGATAATAATAAAAAAGTCTCTCTCAAGTTTCTTGACATTCTCTGGTTGTAGGCTTTGTTTATTTGCTGCCAGCCATGTCATTATGATCAGGTATCATTTTAGTATCAAAAATACATCGATTTCCTACAAGGACATAAGTGACTTCTATCTTCCTGCAATGATAATAGCTGCACACATTTGCACGTGTGTACACCAGGTAGGAGCTCTGGTAGCATAGTGGCTAAAGCACTTGACTGCTAACCAGAAGGCTGGTGGTTCAAATCCACCAGCCTCTCCTCGGAAGGAAGGTTGGGCAATCCTACTTCCGTAGTGATACTGCCTCGGAAACCCAAGGAGGGGTCGCTATGAGTCGGGGCCGACTCAATGGCACATAACAACAACAACAACAACAGTACACCTGGTTGTTCCCTTGAAAACAATGGACATTTGCATTTCTGTTGCTTTTCAAGTTCAGGAAGTCCCTGGGTTATGAACACCTGACTTAGAGATCACTCCTACTTACCTTTTAGAGAAGTTCTGTCATGACCAATGAAGGGAAATAGGAACATACCCAAAATTTTACAGTTGGGCAGATTCAGCATGGTACTTGGAATGGAAAAATTATGGGTTGAAGCCCTGGAGTGGGAGACTTGGAAGAGGAATAATGAGCCCTTTCAGAAGCTTGATGGATGAGACTGGATTATTAGTAGGACTGTAGAAGAGTGAAACACATTCAAAGTGACACAATTGACTGCCATTCTTGAATAGGGCACCACCATCTTTGAGCAGGGTAGCACTACTGCAGACTGTGCTCAAAATCCAAAGGCAAGAGATGGAACACATTTGTCACTCTTCTTCTGTAAAAGGGAGATTAAGTTACCAGCAAGGCTTCAATGCATAGTTTTTCCCATTCCAGCCATCTGTCTAGCTCACCATAACTAAGAATTCAGGTCTGTTCCTGTGATACTTCCTCAGCCATGACTAAACTGGGCAGAACCAGTTCAAAGTCTTGACAAATTCTTAAAGACACAGGAGTGAATCTCTTTCATAACCCAGGTACTGCCTGTATGAGTTTTTGGTTATTCAGTCAAGAAAACATTTACTGAACACTGAGCAGGCACTAGAATAGGTTCTGTGCTATTTCTATACAGAAGGAATGACAAGAACAAAGCCATGGAGGTAAAAGGGATAATGTTTACATAAGAGTAAATAGTCTAGTTTAGGGTTCACTAGAACGTCTTTGTTGTTGTTGTTATGTGCCGTCGAGTCAGACTCGACTCATAGCGACCCCTCCTTGGGTTTCCGAGGCAGTATCACTATGGAAGTAGATTGCCCCATCTTCCTTCCGAGGCTTATACAAATACAAATTCTAAGGCTCTACTCTCAGACTTTCTGATTCTAAAGGCCTGGGATAGGCTCAAGAATTGGCATTTCTAATGAGTTGCCAGGTGGAATTGATGCTGCTTGGCCTAGGTTCATGCTTTAAGAACCACTGAAATAATGTGACCAGCTAGTAAAGTGCAAGTAGAGAGTAATAGGATATAACACTGGAAAACTAGATTGAATTTATATCACGGATGACTCTGAATGTCAGGGTTTAGTAGTTTACTGCATACACATTTATTGAGTGCCTAGGAGCCTGTTATGGATTGAATCAATTACCCCTTCCCCACATATATGTTGTAAATCGTAACCTTTGTGCCTGAACGTTACCAACTTCTGCAGTCTCCACTTTACCATACGTGCAATCAAGATGCACTGATAATTGTTGGTGATTGAAATGTGAAAGTTGGAAACAAAGAAGAGGCATAGGTAGTTGGAAAATATGGCCTTGGTGATAGAAATGACTCCAGAGATCACATGATAGAATTTTGCAAGACCAGTAACTTATTCATTGCAAATACCTTCTTGTAACAACATAAATGGTGACTATGTATGTGGACCTTGCCAGATGGAATACACACGAATCAAAACACTATGTCTGTGAAAGAGATCATGGAAAAGCTCATATCATAAGTCAGAACTGCGTTAGGACTGACTGTGTAACAGACCATCAATTGCTCCGTGAAAGTTGAAGTTGAAGCTGAAGAAAATTAAAACAAGTCCAGAGAGCCAAAATACAACCTTGAATATATCCCATCTGAATACAGAGACCATCTGAAGAATAAATTTGATGCATTTAACACCAGTGACTGAAGACCAGATGACTGAGATGACATCAAAGACATCATACATGAAGAAATCAAAAGGTCATTAAAAAGACAGGAAAGGATAAAAAGGCCAAAATGGATATCAGAGAGACTCTGAAACCTGCTCTTGAATGGAGAATAGCTAAAGTGAATGGGAGAAATTATGAAGTAAAAGATCTGAACAGATTTAAAAGCACAATTCAAGAAGACAAAGTAAAGTATTATAAGGAAATGTGTAAAGACCTGGAGTTAGAAAATCCAAAGGGAGGAGCATGGCATTTCTCAAGTGGAAAGAACTGAAGAAAAAAATTCAAGTCTTGAGTTGCAATATTGAAAGATTCTATGGGCAAAATATTGAACAGTACAGGAAGCATCAAAAGAAAATGGAATACACAGAGTCACTGTACCAAAAAGAATTGTTTGACACTCAGCCATATCAGGAGGCAGCATATGATCAAGAACTGATGGTATTGAAAAAGTCCATGCTGCACTGAAAAACAAGCCTCCAGGAATTGACAGAATATCCATTGAGATGTTTCAAAAAACAGAAGCAGCACTTGGGGTGCTACCTGGCCAAGCAACTGGAAGAGATCCATATTTATGCCCATATTATTCCAAAGAAAGGTGACCCTTCTTGTAGAAGTTATTGAACAATATCATTAGTATCACAGACAAGTAAAATTTTGTTGAAGATAACTTAAAAATGATCACAGCAATATAATGACAGGGGACGTGCCAGAAATTTAAATTGGATTCAGAAGAGGATGTGGAATGAGGGATATCATTGATGATGTCAAACAGATCTTGGCTAAAAGCAAAGAATACCAGAAAGATATTTACCTGTGTTTTATTGACTATGCAAAGGCATTTGACTGTGTGGATCATAACAAATTTTGTATAACATTGTGAAGAATGGGAATTCCAGAGCATGCACTTATGCTCATGAGGAACCTGTACATAGGTCAAGAGGCAGTCATTAAAATAGAACAAGAGGGTATTATATGGTTTAAAATCAGGAAAGATGTGCATCAGGGTTATGTCCTTTCACTATACTTACTCAATCTGTATGCTGAGCAGAGTCTGAGAAGCTGGATTATATGGAGAAGAATGTGGAATCAGGATGGAGAAAGACTCATTAACAACCTGTGATTAC